CCCCCCCCGATAATCCTAAATACATTAATGTCTTAAGAAACTGGGACCCGAAACAATAAGTTTTCATTCTCCAAAATTAAGATATCATCAGTATAAATTCTATTTAAATTGGTTGTCGTAAGAAAAACAAAATCAAGGATTCATTAAACTAACTTAATCCTAAAGAATTTTTCTCTCACTTGTAAATGTAGGGTCACTTAAATCAATGTTTCTTTTGAAAATATTATGACATAATAAACGATTTCACAGAAATGATTTTAAAAGACAAATTAATTTCTCTGATTTTGATTTGAACATATTGAATGAATGAATGCATGAATGAATGAAAGGATGAATGAATGAATGAATGAATGAATGAATGAATGAATGAATGAATAAATTAGAAAAATGGATGATATCATCAAAACTGTCATTGATCGGGGACTCAGGTACTTTTTAAACAATGACAAGCAGAGGTATATATTTTCAAAACAAACTTTTTCTCAAATTAATTCAGTCAAACTTTTGTATAGTCTAAAATCGATATTTGAACTCTTGATAAAAAAAGCAGTAGATAGTGCAGATAAGGATTATGTTTGGTTAATATATAAATCTGAAACAATCTGAGAAATGAAAATTTTGATGATTTCTATTTTATACTTTTTTAACCCAAATTAAGAAATTATAAGTTGACTAACACGCAGGGAAAGTGATCGATTACCAAGTCTTCCGAATCAGTCGCCGGTTAGTTTCATTCAGAACAAACCGGTTCAAACCAAACCGGTTCAGAGCCGACCAGTTCAAAACAAACAACCTCACACAAAACCAGCACCGTACAAGCCAGTTCAAACCAAACCCACGCCTACTCCCAAGGAATGCGCTCTTTTTGTTTTTGAAACATGTTTGCCAACTCGGGTTCTTACTAAGTTGTAATATCTTATGTTATCCTAACTAAATACAGGGATACCATCCAAGGATGAGACTTTAATGACGCCCTGGGTCTCTACGAGCAAATGATCTTTAGACTAAATCTGACGAAGTCATTTAAAGGCAAATAGATTGATCTGGCATGCAATAGTCAGCTTATAGCTGCAGGGAACATTGATTGTTTCAAAATTGGTTTGATAAAATATGTACAGTCGTCTCTGAACACTCTGAACTCTTTCATTTTTTGCTAACTCTGTAGTTTTCTGAAAATGGTTTTTGAAACTTACTCAAAACAAAATTAGCTTTAATTTTGAAGGAACTTATTTTTTTAAAACCAAAATGAGTTCCATTCAAAGGAAATGAGAGTTTGCCAAAACTCAAATTTTCCTATCCCTATATCTTTGATATAACAAACTAGAGTTATTCCGTCCAATATAATTCATAGTTTGAAATATCAAAGGTCTACGACATTTGGCTGCAAATTTAAAAAATCAGAGTTTGTAGTAAAAACTCAGTTTCTTTGAAAGAAATTGCTTACTCTACTAAAACAAAAGTTAACAAAAATCAAAATACCTTAAATATATAAAACTAATGGCGCCAATTCCGCAGCCTGCTTCCGTTCCCAAGATTGTGCGGAACAAGGAGGAACCAGCTGAACCCGAGGATAGGGGGGCAGACAAACGGAAACGGAAAAATAACAAAAGGTATTATTTTTCTACTTAATTAAAAGCGTTTTTTGCTAACTTTTGAAATTATCTTGCTATTTAAAAAAAGTGTTTGAAAAATCAGAAATTCTTGGCTACTCCAAAAGCAAATAAAAAAAATTCACTGAACGACACCAGTTCTTGAACACCCAGGATAGAAAAAAATAATTTTATTTTAGGCTCGGTTCACCCCACTCTGCCATACCAGAGTTAATGGGACCTAAACCTCCAAAAATGCCAAGAATTCCAAAAATTACAGGTAGAGCTAAATCCTACGAATATATAAATAATGTTTAATACTAAATGTGTCGTTTTAAATTAAAAAGGAAGCCCTAACTACACTGCGTTTTAAGTTAGTATGCAAAAAGAGACTACTTGAGGTTTAAAGGGAAAGGAAGAAAATTTTTGAAAATAAGTTCAACCATCCGTACCTCGCTCAACGACTTTTCGTTGTTAATTGATTTCTACTTCTTTTAGAACAAGCATTTTAAAATATAATTTTTCAAAAGTCTTCTTTTGTAGATAAGGATATCAAACTTCCTTCTGCTGCTAGCTTTGGTTTACCTAACATCATTCCAGGCCTAATTCCAGGTAAAAAGCTTATTTGTTCATAATCGGACCAACTCCCCCTCCAAAAAAAAATTCCACTGAAAAAAGCTAGAGATTTTTTTCCCGCCAAGGTCCTGAGGTGTAGAAAGCAAATCATCTTAAAAGTTGAATTACTAGATTCAATGGATTTTTCATAAAACTAGCCTTAGAGGGCGCTTTGCGCCCATCTTCTAAATTAATTGTGAACATGTTCTCTTTATGTACATCGTAAAACAAAACAAAAATAATTCGCGGATTTTCACAAAAAATTTCGTGGATTTTCAAAATTTTCAAAAATTTAATGAAGATCGAATTTTGATGGAGACAAATATTTAAAATTTTGATCATTCATAAACCTTCCCTGAGGTCGGGTCCCTAGATGTCCCACAAAAAATTTGGGCCCGATCGATTCAGCCGTTTTGACGTTTATTGGATACAAACAAACAGACAAACAAACAGACAGACAAGCCAAGAAGTGCTCCTTCATTTTATCCAATATTATTGAGATTAATGATATCTACACAATCGTTTTCGTTCTATGGCATTGTTGTTTTTATTCCGGTTATTTTAAAGTTTCATGTTTTGCTTTTATTTATTTTAATTGTCATATTAAACCAAATTATATTGATAGCTTATTAAGATTAAAACACATACAACCTTTTTTATTTCTCAGGGGGTAACCCTCTGATTCCTGGTCTTTATGGATTTGGGATTCCAGCTGCAGGTCATCTTATTCCAGGTAGTAAACATTTTACGCCTTTCTTAAACCTGCTGTGCGCCCCCTCCGGAACCCATCTAACCCATGTATTTTAAATGGTTGAACCCCCTACTGACTCCAGGTCTTTACCCTTCTGGACCCCCTTCTAACCTATATATTGTATAGGATTGAACCCCCTCCTGACTCCTGGTCTCTACCCCCCAGGAGGAGTAGATGAGAGTATTGCTGCGGATGATGATGATGAATTAGAAGAAGGAGAAGTATCTCCTCCGCGATCCCAACCTTTTACTGATTATAATATAGGTACTGAGCTGAAAGGGAATAACAAAATGAAATGGATAAGTATTATCATCAAATTAAACTTCCCTACAGGGGTATACCAATTAATCAATGATCATCATTAACCTCATTGTTTGGGGAGGCAATTAATCTACAAAAATCGTTTATTTCACTAAACTTTTTTATATCTAAAAACACCAAAAAAAAATCAAATCTTTAGCAATATTTAACAATCTTTAACAATTTTTAGTTTTTTTCAAACAAATTGCTAATCTTATTGCTGATTATTAAATAAGGGAATTTTTTGGGACAATATGAAAAGCTTAAATTTAATTGTAAGAGATTAAATTTTATTCTATGAGGAATCATCAAATACTTCGATCTTATAGTCACACATAAACAAAAGTCACAAATCCTTTTTTTCATTTTAGATGCTGCACCCCCAACTCCAGAAATGAACGTTGTGTCTAAAGTAAAAACTGAAAAACTAGACCCGGAAGAGGAACATCAACGGGAAAAAGAACGAGAAATGGAACGCGAACGGGAAAGAGAAAGAGAAAAAGAAAAGGAACGAGAAAGAGAACGAATCAGAGAGGCGGAAAGAATAAGGGAAAAGGAACGTGAGAAAGAAAGAGAACGAGAAAAAGAAAGAGAAAAAGAAAGGGAAAAAGAAAAAGAACTGGAAAGGTTAAGAGAAGAGGAAAAAATTCGCGAAAAGGAAAAAGAACGAGAGCGGGAAAAGGAAAAGGAACGAGAAAAAGAAAAGGAACGAGAAAAAGAAAGAGACAAAGACAAGGAAAAAGAAAAAGAAAAAGAAAGAGATAAGGACAAAGAAAAAAGTAAACTTGATAAAAAGGAGAAATCTGCTGCAGAAAAAGAGAAAAAGAAAGCAAAAAAGGAGAAGAAAGACAAGGACAAGGATAAGTCCAAGAAGAAGGAGAAGAAAGAGAAGAAGGAGAAGAAGAAGAGTAAAGATAAGGAGAAGAAGATAAAGAGCGGAGGAGCTAGAATCTACAATCCTGAAGATGGTGTTTTACCTAAACTAAAAATTAAGCCGGTTACTCCCAAGGTATTTCGCGTTATCGACAATTAAATTCCATAAGATAGTTTTTTTAAGGTTGTTTTTCTTGTCTTCTGCTGTTCAAACTTAAGTTTGTTCTAAGATAAAAACATTTAATTCTCTAATATGGATATTATAACTTGCCTTATAATAATATTTTTATAACTTGCCTGGTTGCACCTTACTTATCTTTCTCACTGTGCCTTTTTCTTTCTCACATTTCCTCATCTTTCATTACTTTATCTTTCATTCCCTTATCTTTCATTCCCTTATATTTCATTCCCTTATCTTTCATTCCCTTATCTTTCATTCCCTTATATTTCATTCCCTTATCTTTCATTCCCTTATCCTTCATTCCCTTATCTTTCATTACCATAACTTTCATTACCTTATCCTTCATTCCCTTATCCTTCATTCCCTTATCTTTCATTACCTTATCCTTCATTCCCTTATCTTTCATTTCCTTATATTTCATTTGCTAATCATTCACTCCCTTATCTTTCATTCCCTTATTTTTTTATTCCCTTATCTTTTATTCCCTTATCTTTGATTCCCTAATATTTCATTCCCTTATCTTTTATTATCTTATCTTTCATTCCCTTATCTTGCATTCCCTTATCTTTCATTTCCTCATCTTTCATTCCCTTATCTTTCATTCACTTATCTTTCATTCCCTTATCTTGCATTCCCTTATCTTTCATTCCCTCCTTATCTTTCATTCTCTTATCTTTCATTCCCTTATCTTTCATTCTCTCATCTTGCATTCCCTTATCATTCATTCCTTTATCTTTCATTCCCTCATCTTTCATTCCCTTATCTTTCTTTACCTCTTCAGTCTCTTTCTAATTTTAGTTAATGTAAATGCTAGTGTAACTACTAACAACAATATAGTGAAAGGCTGTAGTTTTCTTATTTCGTATAATAAAAAATTTCAGGATTTAAAAAAAAATTAGAAATATCTCGTTTAGAATTGAAAAATCCTTAGTGCCAAAAAGAAGACAACTGAAGTCACAATGTTTCCAAATTATTTCTCTTTTTTCTCATTATTTAGCCACATTTTAAAGAGTTGACTGTAGGTGTCAAAGTATCTTACAACCTCCTGCGACCCCTGCCCCTCTGATAAAGTATATTTAGGTACCTACCCCTGAACCTCCTGCAACTCCTAAACTTGTAATAAAGAACCTGGCAGAACCTACTCCAGTACACAAGGAACCATGCGCGCAGTAACATACAGTACATGCCCATTGCACATAGTACATAACATGTACTATGGGCAGTTACAGCTTACCTTTGTGAAAGATACAGGTTCACCTTCAAAGGATGAGACAGTAAAGATGACTTTAACTATTTATCTCTTCAGTACAGGGAGGCAATGGGGATGCAATAAATATAGGAGGGAATAATACATTGCCGAGGCTTCCCAAGACCTTGTTGGGTCACTAAGCATCACGGGCGTAGCAAGGGATGCTTTGGGTGGGACCCAAAATGGTCGAGGGAAGCCAAGGCAATTTGTAATATTCCCTCCCATTTTTATTCCATCCCTATTGCCTCACGTGAATGAAGAGATATGTAATTTTTTCATCTGTTTTAAAACAAATTTTGTGGAGATTCTTAACAAAATATTTTATTCTAATTTACATCAAACTCTACCTTTTTCAGGTTTAAAAAACAGTAAAATCTATTTAGTTTGGTAGCACATATTTTTGAGTTAAGATATCAAATCTAATTAATGGTTTTGGATTTTTAAACCTGCAACTTCTTGGCAGAAAAAATCGCAATGTTAGATTGCATCCCTAGAATTTCAACCTAACATTGCGACCCTGGTTTCAGGGTTGCAATGTAAATATCAGGGATTCAATAGTTTCATAATTTTGTTCTAAAAACTTGAAAGATATGATGATTGATGAACCCAAGGTTAGATAAAATATTCTGCCTTGAATAAAGTTTTGTAATGGCTTATTAAATTGCAAACAGCATGATTATAAGGAGAAACAGAATAAAATTCCGTACAGTCGTTTCTGAAGTTCCATTCTTTGTGGGTAACTCTGTATAATCGATCCCAGTTCAGTTTTTCATTTTATTTTGTTGAAGAACAAAGATCCCAGTGAGTCATTAAAGATCTGCGGGTCAGAATTTAAACGGGGCCGGGGAGCCGGAAGGTCTACCTTGCCAAGTTCTCAATTCTTTATCTCATATTGAACAGTTGAAACCCCCCTCCCATTTTCTTCTGATTAAATATTACGCCTCTGGTTCAGGATTTAAAGGAAACTCCTACAACCTCCAAGGCCCAACCAACTCCAGTTCGAGGCCGGCCTCCGAAGTCCAGGGATGAGACTACTGGGAAGAGGTCAAAACGTCCTCCAGGTGGGTCCATAATTAATTTTTGCTTCCGCATCTTATCCAATTTTTCAGTGATCAGGATTAGGATCCATTGGAACCACAGTATCTTAGCTCTGTATGTATAAAATGCCTTTTTTTTGACGACGAAATGTGCACCCTTCAGAAGGTGGGTGGTGAGGATAGTAAAGGTCGGAGAGTGTTATGAATGCCAGAAACAAGCTTAAAACATGTGATTTAATGGGAAACGATACCCATATCGTATACCATGCGCATAAAATTAACAGAGTGGGGATGGGGTCTCTTAAAAAAA